TCAAACAATTAACATTTATCTAATCTTGCATTTGAAATTCCAAGCAACTAATAAAATCAAAACGGGCCAAAAGGTTACACACGATATACCTGTACATTGGTATCTAATACCTATTTAATACTTTTATAATCATTGAATACACATAGTAAAATCAAAATAAATAATTGAAATAATATTTTTGAATTTCCGTCTACAATGCATATTAAATGTTGATGGTTTTGTAATTTAAATTTTTATGATCATAAAACATGCATTTTTATATGACTTTTTTTGGGCATCAAATTCCTACCGCCCAATTTTGTATTCATCTCATTATTACAGTGCTTGTACTGTTCAGTGTGTTTTACACTCTTTTTACCTTGTCGTGGTCTACTCCCAGGTCCCAACTGCCAATAGAGTTTCAATTTCTTGTGATTTTTGACGAACACGTAAAATATGTTTGTCTCTATAATATTATATCAATATATTATTATGTTATTAGCAATTTCGTATCATCATGGTTAGGTATGTAGTATGTTAAACGTGTGTGGAAACAAATAAAGGAGCGCACAGAGGATTGGAAATCATAAAAAAAACAGTGAGGAGGCGGTGTAGGCGCAACAAAAATATAGGAAAAAAACAGGCGCGGGTAGTACAAAATATGTTTTGGCGACAAGGTCAACGCAACGCCGCCAAAGCCGGTCGACCGGCCGGTCGTCGCGTCGTCGTTGCCGAGCAAAAACACGCGCGGGCGCACTGTTCTCAAGGTCGCGCTGCGTCGTGTGTAGCAGCAGCAGCAGCAACAGCAGCAGCACACGGTGTAACGACGTCGATCGGCCCGACGACAACGACACTCCCCCGGCGGGACAGGCCCGTTTTCGGTCTTACGTCATTGACGCCTCGGCGGCGGCCACTCTTCTCCTTATTTGGTATCGGTCACACACGTATATTATTATGATACACAATAATAATAATAATAATAGTATGCGTAGTACGTGTGTGCCGTGTGTCCTTTCCAATGGAGAAAAACGGAGGCAACTCCATATCGGCATCAGAACGCGTATTAGCTTCTTATATTTATTTATTATTTTCATGTTTTTTTCTTCTTCTACTCTCCAAGATACGATGGGATTGTCCCACATTTTTCATACAAACCGCTTGCTAAGTATAATAATATTTGTATACGTTTACAACCGGCAACGCGCTTGCGCAGAACTACATTTCCGCAGACGGTAACCGTATTTGTGGCCCCTTCAAGTTGGGGGCCCTCTCCTAATAAGACGAGTATAAAGTAAACAAATTGTTAGGTATTTTATAAAAAAAATATTTGGCTACAGCAGATGAAAACGTCCCAATTACAAAATGTCAGGAGGTGCACAGGCATACCAGTTGTTACGCCTATATGTAATATGTTAAAAACTATATAGTCGCGCTTTTGTTGCTTATAATAATGTAATACATAATTTAGCACCTATATATACATAGTAATTATAATCATTATAGATTATTATTATTATTAATAATACATATTTGTTTATCATGACAACGTTGAACGATTTATCATCATATCGGTGGTTAGGTTCAACACAAACGCCTATTAGTGATTATTACAATATTGCACGCGAAAAGAAGAAATTGCAAAATCCCAAAATTTGATGTCCAATTTTATTGTTATTAATTATTGTTGGTTGCGCTGTTTAAATATAGTGATTTAGTGATGTCTGATCGTTTTTGAGAACTATTATATACGTCTATACACTTATACACGGTAGCCATTTATTTTCCTGCAGTGCTACGTTAAGTGGCAATAAGAATGGAGGTAGCCACGGCCCACGGGTATCAAACTGTCGGGGTGCTAGCCCCTTTTAAGGTGTGTCATTTTAGCATAGATATTGTCTATGTCCTACAAAATTATTATAAAACAAGATTCCTATAAACGGTGGTCTCAATTTATTATATAAAAACTTTTTTTTACGTGTTTACACCAAACAGAAATGTCATCATTGGTGTACATAATTGTGATTAAGCGATGGAATTTCATAAAGCGTCGTCAATGCCAAACACTGTATTTAGGTATAATATATTATGATCGTTGCCACGATATATACCTACAGCATCGTCGTCGGTATTTTACTCGAGATAGGTAGCTATATAATAGTTGAAAGGTATAGGTATACAGCCTATACATGTCGCTGGTAGTCTGCTTTGCACAATGTTTTTGTCGAGTCATTTTTAAACAATAGTCATTTACATAATTTAGAATTACTATACCTATATAATATACTCATCTTATTTTTATAATGGACCATTAATGTCTACAATATATTTGGTATATATTAAGAGAATACGCCCTTCGACAAAAATGTCCCACTTGTTATATGTAAAAATAATATATTTTCGAACAACGAAAACAAAGAGAACAAAATAAATAAATACTACTGCATGCGCTCCTGCAGGCTGCAGGCTACAAATGCAGAATAGATTCACATTGGATTATGTCCAAAATATTAAGTATGAAGGATATTCGAACCCACAATACCATAAACGCAGCGAAGGTATGTTTGTTAGTATGTTTATTTTTTTTCTTCACATTTTTGATCATATTAGGCAAAAAGGTCACTCGTTTTAGAATGCCTGTGTACATTAAGACGGACTGCACATCAATGACATTAATTTAGAGGTACTTATTAAGAATTAAGTTACAAGGTACTTGTATGAATATTTATAAATTATAAACAACTCAAGTCTAAAATTAGGTACCTAATTTCTTGATGAATAAAAAAATGCCTATGACGATAATATGTCATATAAATATTAGATACTAATGTAATAAAGTATAAATTAAAAATGATTGCACTTCTCAGAATAATTTACCTGTGCCCCACTATTGCAGAATGGTGATTTTATGACGAGTCGATGATCTATTTATCTATTAACACATATTATTACAAATTAATAAGGTTGGCTCAAGGCCAGTTCTTCATTCATCAGAAAACTTCCTAGTTATATATATATAGGGACTACAACAATAAGAAATAAATACAAACAGATTACAGAACAAATCAAACCATTAAAAAGGCCAGACAAGATAGTGGTGTACACTGTATTTATTGTGTGTAGTAGTTTATTATTATTAGTTATTTATTTAAAAACAATAATCTTTAAAATAAGAATATGAAGTTTTCTTAAAGTATGAAAAAAATTGTATTAAATACATTTGATATATTATTTCAGTAAATAGTTAGAAGTTAAAACAATATAATAATATAGATTAATAAACAAAGACAATAGTCATAGTATTGTATTACATTTTAAGATCTTGGTTATAAATTGTAAATTGAATAGAACAATAATAATTATGCCAGAATTAATCAACTTCTTGTCTTATTTCCTAGTCTATAGGTACTTTAAATAAAATATAGATTTATATTATATACATTTATAACCTTAAGCAATATAAAATTAAAAAAAAAAATATTATAATATTATGTGAACATTTAAATTCTTTAAGGATATACCTAATTTTCCGAATAAATTGAGAAAAAATAATTAAAATTGATTATCATCAATCTGCAATCTGCACATATGCTATTATATATCTAAATATTGAAATTGTTTACATAATTTTTCATTAGATTTTTCAAACTAAATAAATAAAGTATAAACACTCCATTGTAAAACCAATACAATTTTTAAATATTTATTCATAGTAAAGTAAATGGGCAATATAAGTTAAATATTTTGATTTATTTTGTTACATTTTCATTTCCATTTATAATTTAATTGGATAAAATTATCCAGAAGTCAATTGAAATAAAAAATCTTAAATCGCAGATTTTTGTTTTCAATTTAACGAAATTAGAGATTAGTTCAGTCAATCTTGATTCTTAAATCCGAGTTACTCTTACTCACTAGTCACGTATAAAATTATGATTTTGAACTCATCTGGTCGTAATATTTATATTTTATAGTCGTATTAAATATTAATGTATTATGCGTTACAAAAATAAACTATGTCATTCAAAATGTTTATTATAAAATCCCTACACAATATAGGTCAGCTGCTATATTATGACCTATTTTTTTAATAATTTCTCTGGGAATCGTAATAAAATAAACATATTTAATATCAATAAATTGTTTGTCTTTTTAATTTTTATGATTTAAAATCTATGCAATTCATACATCTGCGTAGGATTTTCCATCACAGAGATTTTTAGGTCGTCAAAATAACATTTATTACTAAAAAAATATGTAAATATATTATCTATTCATAAAACTGCCAATCATTGAAAAACATTTAAGACACTGAAACTGGCGTGAACATGAAAACCATTGATTGAGTGTAAGTGAGTATGACGTCACATTATGTGGTCAATATGAACAATAATTGTAATGTTCCAACAAATGTGTGATACAAGACGTGTATAACCCTAAACATTTTAACTTTATCTCGTAATTTGTTCAAAACCTGGTAGGTATAATAAAAATAAGTTTATAGTGAATAAATAATATTTATTGTAATAATATAGTTTGTAAATTAATATTTTATACAAAATAATATGTATTGCAATACTAAAATGTTTGTAGATAGGTACCAAATATAAATATATTGGTCGGTAGTCGATATTATGTCCGGTAGAAGGTAGATCACTTCCTAGACGAATGCCCATCTCATTTCATACTTAATGCACTTAAATATTTAGGTACTCTATGTACTATATAGTATATACTATATTATGTAATATATATGTATAGTGATTTATATGCAACTAGGTTTATTATGATAAATAAAAAAAACGTCCGAGTTGTTTATATTATTTGAACTAAAAGTATATTAAGCCCAGCATTGAACTTTATAAGTCACAAATATTTGTATATAAAATTATATACAACATATTTTTTGTTTTGAAATACAAATTATAAATATTCTCACGTACCAATATCATTGTCTTTTATCATCCGTGCGGATATGGATTTTCAATAACAGTAGTGATTGTCATGTTTCAGGACCTAGAACAATGTATAGCAGACCAAATCAAAATCAAGGCGAAGCGAGACTCGGTTAGTACCTATATAAACCTGCATGTATAAGATTAGTCACGAATTTATCTGTACCTATATGGAATAATGGAATACAGACAATTTATTTAATATTGTAGTATTAACTATTAGTCACCTGCAAAGTAGGTAGGTACTAATTCCATAAAAGTACACTATAATATAGAGTCTAAACACTCTAAACTCTAAAACACATTAGGAAGAAATACAGTTCTATATGTTCGATGTACTCTTGTGTATTATTATAATCCATTTTTATGAAATAAACATTACAAAATTCATTGAATCCATTATTCGATAAGCCGAGTTTGAGCATTTTTATACGGGTGTTTTAACTGTTATACCTAATAATTTGAGTTAACTATAAAATCTACCAATCATAAGATATTTTGGCGGTATGTGTATTTTATTCCCCTCGTAAAAAATATTTGACAGTTTAATGTGTAAAGGAAACGTCTGGGTTGTAATGCATCCTAATTCCTAGGTGAAGGTATGTATAAAAAATAAAAAAACAAACCTTGTTTCATTTCCAACTTCTATTTTTATAACGTTACAGTTTGTTTGAACGTTGACACATTTCGGCTGTCTGGACCGTAGCTAATACTATTAAAAATAGAAACCTGAACAAACATTATATAATTACATAAGGATATTTCACCTTCACAATTGTTATTTTTTCTAAACGACCAATTATAAAAACAAAAAATAACATCATGTAAAATAAATTTCAACTACCTATTTTACCTGGATATTAATTTATCATAATTCGAGGTTATACTCAATAATATCACGGTATTATTATTCTTAGCACTTAGCGCCTACCTAATATATTACATTATTTATTATATTTAACATTATTTGGTGGAGTACTGGAATCACCATTATGGTCTCATGAGAACTAAAAAATTACTTCACTTTCTTATGGTATATTCACCGTTTACTCTTCCTTCCTACCACCATCACACACATATCAATAAAATATTTTCTTATGATTTGAATTTTTTTTTTGCCTTGATACTTGCATTTCCAAAAAATACTTGAATTTGATTACAATATTGAATATACATAGTATTATAGTCGCAAAATGAGAATTTAAACTTTAAGTATCAATATATTATACCTACCTATAAATTATAATTGAATAAATGTGCTGAAATTTCAATAAACCTCTCACTTCAGAATAGTAATATGTTCAGATTATTAAATATTCCGGGAATAACACCTTGACACTGTTATATTTAATAGGTAACGACGTACGCGCATAGTTGCGTTACAACGTATAATTACTAATTAGTTCAAACTTGAACATTTATTATTGTTTAGAACTGTTACTGGACGACTTGCAGTCCACTCTTCCGCGTAAAAACCATGGACTCAGTAACACATCGTCAACTGGGTACAGAGAAGTTACTAAAAGCACATCAAGGACGATTGGTAACGGTCAAACAGAAATTAACAAAGAATATGAAATCCAATATCTCAATCCAGCCAACAAATCCACAATGCTCAGTGAAAGATTACCCGATCTTCAATCGGTTGACTTGCTGGTGGGAATTAATTAATTAATGACCGCAATCATAATTAAATTATGGAGTCACATGTCAATATATGTCTTATAAAATAACTTATTAACATTTCAGCGACAGACCAACAATGGAAAAAATTCCGGTTACGAAACGGTTTCGTCTTACCAATATAATAAATCGACAGAAAGTACGCTGATTGTATTATTTTAATCATATTTCTATTTAAATTACGTGTTAAACGAAATATTTATAATGTGTACCTATGTTATAGGCAAAGGTACAGTTCCCAGACAAGAAACGAACAGTGTTAACATGAGACAAAGTATTTCTGAACTCGATTCATTATTAGACGATTTGAATCATGCTCAGAGAGTTGGATTTTCAAACTCCGGAGTTAATAGACATGAAATAACAACTAATGAGTCCGGAATGTAAGTCAATTTAATTATTTGTATTACTCTAGGCTTAATGCCTTTTTAATTGGATATTTAGATATTCCATAACTCATAATAGCAATGCCCTAATCAGGCATTTATGAGATGGCTGCATACGAGTTGGGCCACAAAATAAAAATCTTAAACTAGTTAGGTCCGAATTTGTTTCGGTAATATATAGAAGTTGTGTCCTGGATTAAATATCGAATCACAATTTGTACAATTTCCTATTGCAATATTTTTTTTAAAAACACACAAAAATAAAAAAAAAAGCCAAGAGTGTGTTAGTAATTATTTAACTATCGAACGAAGTGGGATCAATTTTTGTGAGATAAGTTTTTACATGGTGTGTAAAAAAACATTTAAATATACGTCATTGAGTATAACAATGGTTAGTAAGGCAATAATAAGCTATACTGTTTAGTACTTTAGTGTATAGTATGCTTACCAGGTACCAAAAACCATTCGGGATCCAGCTTGCAGTGTAGTAGGTATCTAAAATAATCCAGAACCTAACTTATAATTTGTATACTATAACAGTAGTCTGTAAGTAATAATAATTATCCCTAGTGTCAGGGCCCTAATACTGGTGGTGCCAAATCGTACGATTTTCTAAACAGACTATTTTAGGGCAAGAATTAGACATTAGTTGAGCTTTTTTATCCAAACAATGTGCCATATAAAAGTGTAAAATTCAATTTCATCATCTGGCATAAATAAAACCCATTATACTTAAATTGATAACTAACTTTCAGCTTTAAATTTCATATTTGATTTTAAGGTTATAGGTACTCAATTAATTAAAACAATGATTTTTAAAATATTATAAATTAAAATGTACCTATAATTAATTGGCGATTAATGACAATTAATAATAATAATGTATATAAACTATATATTAACTAATTTTATTATTGGAACTAAATTTTAATTATTCTATTTGATATAATACGTTTTAACGCATAAGCAACAGTTTTTTTTATAACTAATATACTTTAATGATTAGTTGCGTCATAAAAAAACTATGTTAAATAGCGGTTTATCATCGCCTTTAGGCATCAAATATTATTATACTTATATGAAAAATATTGTAAATAATATATTACTTTACTTACTTAAGTTAAGACTTAATCTTTTTTGTTATTTTTATTTTGAAACTAATTGTTCAAGTCAAGTGGTCAAATAATTGTACCTATAGGTAATAACTAATAATTTATTTGCGCTTTACGCATATGAGTTGTTAAAAAGCTAATTTTTTTCTCGCGTTTTTGGGTTTAGTTTAAGTCATATTTTGTGCTTATCGGCGATAGCCCCCAACTCGTATCTGCCGCAGCGATATCATCGTGGAAATGGGACATGGGTGGTAACTGATAGCTTATTGATTTCTGTAACTTTACTTACATATCTATTTGTCGATATATTGACAGTGAGCCATTAAGGAGCAGTACGCCATATAAACAGCAATATAGTAAACACGAAGAACATAGATATGGAAGTCTTAACCGATCTAAAATTCCAGGGACCAGTGAGATGGTTTCCACCTACGAAACTTCGACAACAAACGGAGAACCTTTAGGTGAAACATTTTGTACCAAAAATTAAAGCCCCAGAGGGTATAGGTACTGTGTATGATACTCATGAATATTATTCTATACAGCAGATTTAGATTTGACCGATGCTCCACGAAGTTATACCAAGTTGCTTCAAAACCAATCTCCGGGTAACTATCAGACCTCGGTTTATTCAAAAGAAACTACGAAAAAAATAATTCCGGGTACCACAACTTATTCGACGTACCAAAAATTCGGTTCACCTACAACGGACCCAGGTCAATCTAAAGTGTACAACTATTCAGAAGAATATCGCACTGATAGTAGGAATCGTTCGTTGAGAGATTTGCCACCGTCTCCTCGTCCGCATAGATCTTCATCTCCGCGTTCACCGTCACCGCACCGTTCGCCGTCTCCCATGTCGTTTCCTCAACCACCAGAACCTAGAAACTACTCGAGTAGTCATACTTATACGAACAGGACAACGTCACCTCAGTCGGTACAGAAGTTTAGTCCTTCCGATCCAAGCAGAATCAAGTGAGTATTACGAATTTAGTTTGCTTAAAATAAAATATTATTTCGGGGGATTGTAATGAGTGTGTATGTCGCAGCGAAGAGGTGACCTGGGTCGCTCATGCCACGCCCCCTGTAACCCGTCGTTTCCCCGTGAGGTTAGTAAGCGTTTTGGAGGTTAATATTGTGATCGTACGTGAGGTTCATAGTTGTGTTCAGGGAATGTGACGTGAACACATAATTTGTTAATATAATAAATTACCTAATTATGCACCACTGTTTTTATTTTATAGCGTGGATAATAACTTAACTTCGCCGCCTGGCCAGACGGTTTACTCGTATAAGTATTCGAGTGAGACCAGAGAGAACACAAAATATGGACAACCAAATGGGTACACAAAACCTATACACCAAGAACAGTTGCCACTACGCCATTCGCCGTTCCCAAGAGACGAGGCTGACACACCTGGACTCCAAAATCCACCGAAACGATTGGATGACTTGATGGCATCGTTTGGTGACAGAACAGATTACACGAACTACCACAGTAATAGAGAATACCACTCGAATGTCAAGGATTACCAGTCCAAGTCTAAAGAATACGAACACGACAAGGCAGCAGAATACACGATTCCGATTAAGAAGCCACATCCCGATAATCTAGCTCCTGAGAATAAAGGCCCTGAGAAATTGACGGAAGTTAAAGAAACTGAAGTGACTCAGTCGGTCGCCGGGCCGCCAGTTTTTTATCCCCCCGGGTCAACAACGTTTGTGAAGAAGGAAGAAGTAATGCAACAGGTATATAATAACCGTTTTTATAATCAAACATAATCTGTTATCGCTCCATCTATTATACTTTTTTATTCATGTCCTACAGCAAGGTCAATTTGGTCAGGGACAAATGAAGGCCAAGGCCAAAGGAATGTACAAGTACAAAAGCAAAAGCAAGTCAAAGGAAAAACAAAGTTCTGGAGCAACAATGGTGCCAGTATGTTTGCCAATGTGCTGTGCCATGCCATGTGTTATCATGTAACCTAAGACATTATATTTATATAACTTTACTAATTTATAATAATTTACTAGACATAAAAAATGAAAAGAAAAAAAATTATGGTGGCCTATTAAACTAATTGTCCTAAAAGTAAAATTACTTAAATACACATGTTATATTATTTAAATACCTAGGCCATAATATTAGGTATAATAGAAACATTTTAAACTCTCAAAATAAATATTTGAACATGATATACATTACAATAAATTTTAGTTAGTACAGCGGGTATTCTTGCTAACTACTACAAAGTTGTAATTTAAAATGTTTTCTTAATATTATTATAATATCATCCGGGTACCTATATTTTTACTAAATTTTTATTTTATACCGAATAAATATCAGAATATTACATATTATGTATTAATTGTTATAAATACCAATTTACCTGTATGTTTTAAACTTAAACACTTTTAACATACAACTAACCTTGCTGTAAGCTTATTTATTATTTGTATTTCATTATTATTAATGTATTTTTTAAGATACAGACGATTATTAATTTATATAATTATGTGTGTATGTATAAATTGAACACTATTTACATGGTTCTATTTTTAATTGGTCTAATAAAAATAACAGATGTAGATTATAGGTTCAAGATAAAATTCACCTTTTTACATTTAATTATTTTGATTACAAATGTAATAAATAATAATGTTAATAAACTATTGATAAATAACACACAATTATTGTATAAAGTACCGTCATATTACTTATACTATAGTTACTAGCTACTTACTTAAGTTCTAGAGCCACAAATTTAATAGTTTCGTGTCAAGTGTTCTGGTGTAAATGGTGTAATATATTATGTAGGGACCTAATGGACCTATTAATTATTAGGTATATAAAAAAAAACGTTCAACCACTACATAGTTGAATGAAACACGCGGCTAAATCACAGCTACATATCAGTATTCCAACAAACCACGAACAGCTACACGCTGTAATGTTTATATGACCATAATATTATATATTCGATTCATGTTTTTTTTTTTTTCAATAATACATATTTACTTGACTTAACAAAAATTCGTATTATTATATATTAATTATACATAGCAAACGTATTCATTTTGTATATTTCTAACGATACCTAGAGCTTAGAAGAATGTTATTTATTCATGTAATAACTTAGAGTGTAAAATATAATTTTTACGATTTGATCAAGTTTAATTGAATTTTATTTTGATAAATGTTTCAGTTGTTTAGCGCGCACGATTTGTACCTAAAAATTAATTTGTATTGTTGTCAAATTTTGTTAAAATTATATTGATGTTGAATAATTGTTATATTACATAATCATACGAATTAAAGAGATTTTACTTTTTTTGTTCTTTTAAATTCAAAAATAAATAGGTACCTATCTGAAATCAAAATATATATGTATAGGTATGTCGTGTCTTCTCCATCCATATAATATATATACATATTTATTATTTATAATACATTATTAGTTATGCACTGATCGACTTGTACCTAAACTTGTACTAGTATTTTAAATTTATTATTCAATTTCTTTGTAACCTCAAAAACAGTATCCTTCGATCCACCGCCTCTCCCTATTTAAGACATATTTCGTTATTTCCTCTGTAGACAGAAAACAGGAGATAGCAAAACTGATAGGTACGAATAGGGCCCATAAGCGTAGGGTGATAAAATAAATTGTGGGGAGGGGCTAAAGCCCCACTATAAATTTTTAATGTGGCGTTTCATGGGGGGCTTTGCCCCCATGCCCCATGCTTCATTTATCTATGTTAATGGAATTCATTTTTAAAAACATCATGTATCTTTAATATTTTCAAATTTCTCAAAAGGTGACAACATAATTTCAAAATGCTACCATGTGCGTATAGAAAATGCTAGTATATAATCATTTGGTGAAAATATCAAGTATCTATGGTTATTTATTTTTGAGTTACAACAAAATATCAAAAATCAATTGAGGGGAAATAGTTAATTTAAGGAGGCATTCAATGTCAACAATTTGAACTTGAAAAAAATGAATGTGATTTTCCAGTAAATATAGGCAAAAAATACTTATGAGGAATCTTTAATTTTTAAATCTTTGATATAAAAATAAAAATGTTAACTCGAAATAATATGCAACATTTTGTGTCTTATTAATTTTATCAAGGTTGTCAAAATTCGAACTTTATATGCTTATAAAAAAAAAAAATTGTGACTGGATTATTCACATTTTTCAAATGCCATTGTAACAATACATTAGGAACCATGTATTAATCACGTATTTTTACTAAGCAAATACAATTTTATTGACATTCGTAGAAAATAAAAACTAAAAAATTGAAAATTTTAAATTTTGACCTCCTGAATGCACCAACTAGATTCATTTTCTTATCGAACAAGATACTGTTGAAGAAAATTGAAGCATTTTTACTGCCACATACCATGATGACGGACACAAAAAAGTTTTAAAAAAACACATATCATTTAAAACATATTTAACACATATTTTGCTATAAAAAATAATAAAACTTAAAATATTTTAAATTTGAGTGGAATAACTTATTATGATTATAACCACATTGACTATAGAAGTTCAGATAATAAATTAAAATTGCAATTGTATTAGAATTAGAATGTTAGATATTGGATCCAAGGGAATATATTATAGCTATTGGTACCAGTAATTATATCGCTGATTAATATACTATGTACATATTATGTCTGTTGTTGAGAGGGCCCAACAATATTGCAGCCCCCCCCCCAAATTCAGTTCAGCGCACGCCTATGAATTTGCTATGTTATGCGTTTGTATAAGACGTAGAGATGGCATGCGGGTGTGGCTCCCAAGTTAACCTCTTAAGGTAAGATATCGTACCAATCGACGATGCGCAGGTACTGAAGACAACTGAAGCGTGACAACGGCGACGTTGACCAAAAACACTGAGCGAGCAAAGGCAGCCATGGTACCTATTGTTGCTACGGAATCGGCAGCTACCGGCAGGGACGGATTGGGCCATAGGGAAATCGGGAAATTCCCGATAGGCCGCGTACTAAACAGTAAATAGTAGGTAGACGTAAATATAATCTAATAATTAAATATTAATAAATATTACCATTGATTATAGATTATTCATTCAATGATATTACAGTCTATAATATTATAACGTAAACGTTGTAAATTGTAATAATACAAGTACTTATACAACGTCTACGACAGAAACTGAATAATAATATTAATTATCAATAACAATAACCGTAATCAAAAAATCAACTTCCGTAGACAGTAAAATCTATAAATAATTGGTTATTCGGGTTGTCGTCGATCAGATTGGCAGGCGGGTTGAGTTTAATGAGTAATTACGACGAATTTTGACGATACAAGTCGATGCTGGTCGTTAATATGAATACCTAATAAGAATATTTTTATTTAAAATCTATATTATTCATATTAAAATATCAATCGTCATTCAAAATTCGATATCAGCACTCGGCAGTCAGCAGTTCGGCACAAATTGGTTATATTTTATAATTAAATCCAAGTACTTAATTAGGAATAATTCATAAAATATTTTATATTACAATAGTAATAGTTGCGAATTATAAAATAAAATGGAAATGGTTGGATCAGACTGAAGTAAAAAACGAAAATGAGGAGCTGAAAAAATCAGAGACAAAAATAAAAAAAATACTTCTTTTAGAAGCAAAGACTTCTAAAAGCATTAAATAATTTATCAAGTCTCAGAATAGCTAAACGAATTTTAGCTGAACTTTGTCATTATAACAATAATATATTAATAATTAAAAATATTAAACTGTTACTGTACATAAGTACAATAATCTACAATTTAATTTATTGATAGAGAATGAGAGAAACAACAATATATTTTGCAAAATACTTAATGCAATAGGTAAATATTTTATTTTTTTAATATGAATATATACGTTAAATTATTTTAGTGTGATATTCAACTGATACTTTTAAAAATTATAGATAATAATTATCTATAAGTATAAATTATGATTTATTGATTAAAAAACAAAGGCTTAACAAGGCTGGTCAAATTAATGTTTTTTTTTTAACTCAGTTTTTAACTTAACTTAAACTTTTTCTCATCAACACCCATCCTAGTATAATAATTATAAAAAAAAAAATTATATAAAAAGAGTTCTTTAAAAAAAAAATCTTTCATTGTAAATTAAACCAGTTTTATTATTTATTCAAATAAAAAAAAAGTTACTAACATTTTATTATTTTTATTACCTATTACATTTTATTGTTAAAGGTTGATTTTATAATAACACTGATTACAGTAGACTACCCTTTAAAATACTAAAAAAAATTACTTTCTTCATTCTTCAGTATGGTACACTTGCCAGTTGCCCCCAACCTCCCAACAAATAGTGGGCCTTTAATAAAGTATTTTCCCGGACTGGTCCAAAATTCCAATCCGTCCCTGGCTACCGGAGACGTGACTCGACCGATAGCCACTGGGCGAAAATGGGAGAAAATTGGCTGACCTCTCCGCAAAGCAAGCCGAGGTCCTGCTTTTTTGTCTCAGTCTTACAAGTGTGTAACATCCTAAATTTACGATCAACAGATCACATTTACCTCCGTTAGCTTACAAATTAGAGTGCATCGACCAATCATGGAACTTCATGGTAAGAACATTGTTCATGTCTGTATAGCTATGTAGGTTTTTTACGATTGTTCAATTTTGTAGCAAGTTTTAGCACAAATTGAAAATCCTGATAACTCACTTAAAAACTTAATTATCGTCAAAAAAAACACATATAAACACAATGTTCTCATCACCAAGTTTCATAATAGACCATGGTGGGCAAGTTAATGAAAATAATTGACGCAAGTCAATTTAAAAGTTATCAGTTAATAAATCATCAATTTAACTCGGTAAGTTATAGACATTCATTTGAAAGAAAATATTAACTTAACTCAGTAGTCAGTACAACACATATTATGTAATAATTTTAAATACCTATTATAGTATTATAAT